GGAGTTCGCCTCCTCCACCGCTCCTCTCTCCCTCCCCCAAGAACCCGGCTCTGTATTTCCCTTTGTGCTTTGCCTCTCGTGTCACCTCATGCCGTATGCAGCCGGCAAATGCCTGCAGTGACTGTACTGCTTTGTCCTTTTCGGTGTTTCTTCATCCCATCACCCAATCATTGCCTTTCTCCCAGGGGGAGAGAGGTGGGGGGAACAGCAAAGCCAATACGAATGCAGCATTCTCAGCAGATAAAGCAGTGTACCGTGCTGTTACCTAGCAGGGAATTTATTAGGCATCAATATTTGGATACTTCATTCCAGTGGCAGACCCTATAACAAAGGCTAGAAATGGGAGGAGTATGGATTTTTCTGATAAATATTGCAGGGCAATTGCCCACCCAAACCTACCCCCCTCTCCCCCAGGTTACGACCATAGCATGCAAACACACCGTCTTTCTCAGCACCAGCAGCTCAGATGGCTCTCGTTTTGTGCTCGTGTGCAAGATAACTACTGTTACCTATAAAGCAGCCTCATATGCCACTCAGCAACTGTGCCCGAGGAGCTTGCGGGGGCATTTTTGCATTTCTGTAGATGCCAATGCACTGGAAATAACTACCTTGCATCCCGGTGCACACATCGGCTCTCTCACAAACTGCATCCTGAATTCAATAGCTTCATCCCTGGCAGCTCCAGAAAGCAGGGAGGTTATATGGGGAGGCACTGTGGATTTTCCCGTGGATGAGAGCAGCGGCACAATAACCACGGATCAGAGACACAGACAGGCCGAGGGAGAGAGCTGTACGAGACAGATGTGAAAGGAGGACGGGGTTTTGTCGTGTGTCGGGCTGGAAGTGAAGCTACGCAGCAAACCCACTGATTCTTTTGTCATGTTCCCACTCCACTTGCCCTTGGAAATAATGCTGCTTATTATTTGCACAACTGTCAACAAATTATTTTTCATTCCTGGCAAAGAAGTGCTAAAAAAAGTCATTCCGCTCCTTCCCGAGACATCAGCAATAACTCTTTCTGATTGAAACGGGCTATTCGGCTTTGGCAAAATAAAAAGCTCCTCGTTTCATATGTCATTTCCCTCCAGTTTGTCTGGAGAAATGTCTTATTTCACATGCACGCTGGAGCTGAGGTTTCAGCACATGGCCCCAGGGCTGTAGGCTTTAATCTCAGAGCCCAAGTTGTCTGCCCATGGAAACATCTCCATCTAGATGAAGAGGATACATCTTTACAGAAACTTCCCTATGCAAACCATCCCATCCAAGTGCTTGCCTCAGTTATTCCCAAAATACCACAGACAACCCTGTCACCCACGGCACGTGGCTCAAAAAACACCAGGAACACTTGAACCTGCCACCGGTAAAGCAAGGGGGCAAGGGCCTTCTCAAAGTCCTGCCACTGCAAAAGTTGTTGAAATGCCTGATGTCACCCACGTCCTTTGTGAAGCTTCAAAACAATTAGACAGATACTGGTTTACAGGCCGATTCGCTTTGATGCAACATTTTGAAACGAAATGCCAATACGGAGTTTATTCAGAGCAGATGGCATGAAATTAAATGTCCCTTTGTTGTGGCCTTCGTAAACCTGAAACGCCAAAAATCAAGCCGCGGTTGATGGCGGAAGAAAAACAAAATTTTTACTTGCAGCATTTCTGGCAGGAGAAGGTAAAATTTGGGTCCCAATTGGAAGTGCCCCAGGAAAATGTGTACTTGTGACTCGACTGTCATACCGTCACCAGCTCGATTTATTACTAATAGGAAGCAGAGAACTTTAAATGATGATCATCAGTCATTTTGGGGGCAGCAGTTTCTAGAGTCCACAGCCCCGGGGGTGGGGGACACTCACTTGGGCCACTTGCTGTATAAACATACTAGAGACTCATAAAAAGAGGGTGGATGGGACCTCAGGAGGTCACGTCTAGTCCAACCCCCTGCTCCAAGCAAAACTCAGCCCCAGCAACATCACCCCAGCCAGGGCTTTGTCAAGCCAGACCTTAAAAACGTCCAAGGATGAAGATGCCACCACCTCTCTGGGTAACCCGTTCCAGTGCTTCACCCCCCTGGTAAGAAAGTTTTGCCTGACATCCAACCTTAACTTCTCTCGCTGCAACTGGAGACCGTTGCCCTTTTTTCTCTCATCTGCCGCCACGAAGGACATTCACTCATCGCATGACGTGAGTTTTGACGGTGTAAAAGTGAATATCTCCCTGCAAGCCAGACTGGCTCATCCAGCCAGGCCACAGAAACCCTTCCTGATACAAGTATCTAACCGAAACTACTCGTCACAGCCCCGGACTCCGATATTCAGAGTGAATTGAGTGGGGACCAGCTCCAGAGAGCCAGAATTATTTGCAGAAATTACTGCCCAATATTTTTTTTAGTGATTAATAGATCTGGGGAAAATCAAACACTGCTCAGTCAATGCCTAAGTAGAAAAAGAGGCTAAGTTCATTGACTAAATTATTCAGTACAAATGATTTGGCCCCGTCTCGGGAAACCATATCCAATTCATATCAGGGAGGAGGAGACAACAGTGGCAGAAAGGTTTTCCGTTCACATTTAGATCGGAAGCGATTTTTCTCGGCTCCACATCGATTCTTTGGAAACTTCCCCGCAAAGTTCGACCTGTAGTCTGCTCAAGAGCTACCCGAGTCAATACCAGAGAGAGAAAACTATCACCTCTACCAGGCGTCCCGATTGCTTTTGCCACTAGAGCGATACGGCTACAACCTGGATACCTGCTCCAAGGGGAAGGGAGCGAAGCCTGAAAGGGATGGGGAGGAAGATGCTGACGTGACCCTGCCACGGAAGCGAGGGAAGAGCTCTGCTAGCTCACTGCTCCACCGCAGCCCTCGCGTCTCACTGGTAATGCCCCACCCTGGCTCCATCCGGAGGAGGGCACCAGGTGCACTGTTTGCCCACAAACGTCAAGAAGCAGGGGGCCTGTTTTGCTCATCCCTTCCAGTTTCCGCTGTGTTGTATAACCCAGCAGGCACGGTTACATAATGGAAGTGCTGGGCTGCCGTCTGCAGTGCCTGCTGGGGATTCTCAGGGTATGACAAGCCAGCACGACACATCGCACCAGACATACACGAAGCAAAACCA